GCCGCTGCGCACTGGACTGTGGGGAGAGTACGATTTTTGTGGGTACTTCCCCTAGTTTTGGCGGCGTTCAGTGTCGATTGGGCGCGAGCTTGTGCTATCGTCGACCGGATCCGCGGGGTTTAGGATGAGCACGGATTGGGGCCGTGGGCGTGTGGCGGGACAGACCTTGGTGAGACAAGCGAGACAACAAGACAAAGCGGTTATGTCCCGTGTGTTTCCCTCGATTTGATGGGGGGCCGGGCTGGTAGATTTGAGTTTGTTTCAATGTCCCGCCTTTTTCTGGGTGGCGGGAGGCAAGGGGGTTTTGCTTGGAGCGGCGGCATGTTCATGGATTTTTTCCTCGGCGAGGCTATTGTTTGTTTTGTAGCAGTAGTCTCGTTAGGCTCGCCGATTTTCGCAGTAACTTGGCTGAGAGCAACTTTCGCGCCATGGTTTGGAACCGCATTGCGCTTGTCAGTCTGCTGCTCGTCGTACCTGCCGCTGGCCAGTGCGACGAAGGCACTGCGGCACCCCCCAAAGCCTCCAGCCATATTTCAACTGTCACTTCGACTTCGGCAGCGGAGCTGCTGGTGCGGGGAACGCGATCACATTCGCACGTTGCCCAGACATTGGCCGCGTTGTCGTTAGGGTCCGATTTGTGGGTGGCGCCCACTCCGACAAGTATGTGAACGCTTTCGAAGTGCTGCGGCCACACCTGGATCGTCATGCTGAAGACAGGTTTGTGGCTCTGGCTTTCTTCTCGGGATTGGTCTCGGCGCTGCGTTCACGGCCAATCCGACCGATCCATCGGAAGGGGGAGAGCCATGCCGAATTGCTTTGGCGTGAAAAAGTCAAGTGGTCAATGGCATGGGTGTTCGAAATCGCGGGACCTGCTGCATCGTGCACGTATTGCTTTAACGACACGACATTGGTGCCGCTTCTTCCCTTATGCTTCCGCGAACCGGGCGACCCTGCGCGACGGTGCCACTCTAACAAAGGCTCGCCGCTTCCCTTTGAGCTGGAAGTGGAGGTCATGTCTCGAGCAATGCCCATTGTCGCGGTGATTTCGGAACTGAGCATCTCGGAGTTGCTGGTCTTTCTGACTGGCTACACCATGGACCTCGGGAAGATGGCTTTCCTTGGCTTTTTGCACGACAACCACCTCGGGAATCTGCTGGTGGTGACAAGCCTAACGGGTGCAAAGAAGATAACCTGGCATGACTTCGGCACTCGAAGCTACTTTCACAGCAGGTGATCATGCAATGGGCCGAAGGCAGCATCGACATCCGGCGTTCGGTGCTGCGAGCATGGAGCCGAGCATTGACACCAACAAGAGTTGAGGAACTTCGTGATTTTCTGGAGCGAGGTGGGCCTCATCCGGCTGGTTATCATTCACCTAATATGTGTATTTGTACGGCATGTCATTCTGCGGGGCTCTGCAGGCGCTACTTCGGCGCCATCCACTGTCTGGGTGCGGGAGCTAGACAGCAAGGAAAGTGCTGCGTGTGAGAGCAAATGTCGGGCACGGAATCTGTGTTCCCTTCGTGGGCAGGCATTGATGGTAGGGCCTTTTGCGCAGGTGCTTGATGCCGCCAGATTTGATGTGTCCGTTACTGCAGATGTTGGCACAACCCATTGAGTCGAGGTTTGTCACTCAAGCAGTCAGCTGCGGCATTCATGAACAGCGCACGTTTTGACAGACTGTTTTCCATTTTATCATGCACACATTGAGTATCCACGTTGTGGGACATGTTAGATGTCCTCTGCCATGAAGCGACCTGCAAAAGGTGGAAAAGAGCCACCTGCTAAAGCGCCTCGAACATTGCCCCCCATTGGAAAGGAAGCTGATGAAGAGAAGCATGTCTTCATTTCTGTGGAGGGTTATGCTGAGCAGATTGAGAAGCTTTTTGAAGGAGACCATGACTTTGTATTCATTCGCGGTGGCGTGGCCATCGGCAAGACCACATTGGCAGAGCATCTGGGCCGCTCTGAGAAGTATGTGCTTGTGCCCTTCACTGAACATGGTCATCACGATGCTTGGAGGGCGAGAACAGTGCAAGCCGTGGAACAAGCAACTGGCAAAGTTGACGGAGGTGGTTCAGCTTTCGGGAATGCGCTGAAGCAAGCCAAGCAGAACAACTTGACCTTGATTTATGATGAAGCTCACACACTGTTCCTCTCTGCAGACCTATGCTCAGACCTATTCAAAGCAAGCATGGACTATCGACCACGGGTCTTGCTGTTCTCAGCGTCAGGTGATGCTTCAAGCACATCAAGCCTCACCATGACAACGCCAAGTGAAATCACCCAAAAGTTCATGTGGACACCACCTCTACCCTGCACTCTAGACCTGAAGGTACAGCTGCAGGAAAGTGGCGTCAAGCTGGACGAAGAGAGCATCGAGTTCTTCGCCAGCTTCTGTGGTAGGCATCGCGGCATTTTCATCGCTGCGATGCACTGGGTGAAGAGCAAGCAGAACGCTGTTGACAGTTGGAACTTCAGAAAGACGGTGGGATGTGTGCGGAACAGCTACAACGAGGGGAATTGGAACTGTCCTGACACAGAGCTTCTAGGGTTTGTGAGAAAGAGCCGTGCAGTGCGTATCAATGGTAGGTTCCACGCTGTTGAACGCATTCCTCGGGAGTTTGTAGAGCTGCTGTGCAAAGGGGCAACCAGCATCGCAAACGCGGACGTTCGGAGAGAGCTTACCATCAATGGCTTTGTAGTTCCCAAACCTGACAGAGGCATTGAAGCAGAGTTCCAAGACCTGGACTGGAACAACGCGCATATGGAATACCAAGTGGCGAACCCTCTACTGGCTTCATATTACCGCTTCATTCTGCAGAAACAATGCGCTTTGGAAGTTGGGTGTGAAGCGAATCCCCGACACTGTGCAGACTTGCTGATGCGAGCATTGCCCTACCTGTTCTTCTCCAACGTCGTGAGCTTCGAAGGAGATGTATCTCAGTTGGCGACGGGCGGTCTTCCACATGAGCAACAGTATAACCAAGCCATCCTCAGTGTGTTGACGGAAATCGGTTACAAGCCCTTTGCTCCACAATCGTCGACGGAGGGTGACGGGAAGCCAGACCTTATGGTCAACATTTGTCAGGAGACGTTTGTCATGGAGGGCGCGAAGGAACGGATCGAAGAGCACCTTGGCCGCTTCAATAAGTTTGAGAATTACAAGAATGCCGTGCACAAGGGAGTCTACATGATCGGCAAGGACAATGAGAAGGTGCTTCGGACTGTGAGGACATCTCGTGGAGGCGATGTCCAAGTCATAGGCTTGGTCCCTAACAGCGCCCACACCGCCTACACCGTTCACGTGAAGAGCAAGGGCATCGAACGCATCAACACCTTCACGGTGGACTGCGACCTCGTGGCAAGGAGGTTGGTGCTCAAAGACGATGGCAAGCCTGAGCTCTACAGTGTCCAATCGCTGAAGAGCGTCAACCTGTCTCCAAAAGCTCAGAGCAGACGCTGAGTGAGAAGTCTGGTAGTAGTTTTTTCTTTTGTCGGTCACCGTTCTCTGCTTCGGTGTTTCGGAAGTGGTTTGAGACCGTTGCTCCAGGTGCTAAGACATGTGACCATGGAGGATTCGAGATACCAGCCTTTGGCGTTCTGTGAGGCAAGACCTCTGAGCCCGTCGTCTGGGTGCGGGAGCTGGC